AGTAATCCTGCATAATTCAAAATTTTAAGGTGGTGATAATGGCTTTCACAACCAAGATTGTCAGTTAATGTTGCCGAACAAAAAAAAACAACCACAAAAACTAATAATTACATGATGGTTAATGACAGGACAATTTTGTAATACTCATAGTGCTGATAGAGTCGGAACCAGTAGATACACAAAAGAAGGAATACAGTAAAGTACAAAAAAGGAAGCCAATGTTAATAATTTAGGTAGCTAAGTATGTTTAAGAAAGAGTTCACTATAGAATACAAAATACGAGAGAAATAAAAGAGCCTAAAATTATGATTATTAACAACAAAGCAAATCATAGGTTATTATATATTATAGTCTAGGTGATCAAGTGACCAACTTGGATAGAACTCATAAAATTATACCTTACAAAATACTTCCAATTCAACACTCAAATATTTGAACAAATAAAAGGAACACCAATGGGATCATCGCCTATATCAGGATTAATAGCTGAAGCCGTTATGCAAAGATTAGAATTAATAGCTCTACCTATAATTAAACCGAAAATCTGGATACGTTATGTTGATGATACATTTGTTATAATTAAGAGAAATGGGATTTGGAATATACCCATAAATTAATAAACAACATATTTGAAGACATCAAATTCGCAAGAGAAGAAGAATTAGACGACAACAAAATCCCATTTTTAGATGTCTTAATCAGGAGAACTAACACAGGAAATTTAGAAACACAAGTATATGGAAAATGAACGTACACAGATCAAATACTCAACTATACTAGCAATAATCCAGTTACTCACAAACGAAACTGTGTGCAGACATTGTTTAAAAGAGTTCAAACACATTGTAGCACTCCAGAGTTGAAAAGAATGGAGGAAACGTACGTACAAACGGTCTTCAAAAAGAATGATTATCCACAAAATTTCATCAAAAAGTGTTTAAAGTTGAATCAAAACACCAACAAAGAACCATCATCAAAGACCACAAGAAAATTTATCCTACGATACATGAGAAATATCTCTGAAATAACAGCTAGAATACTGAAACCGTTTGATATAGATATAGCACACAAGCCAGTCAAATCGCTTAATTCGATATTATGCAAACCGAAAGATCCAACAGAAGAAGGAGATAAAATTAATACCATTTACAAAATAAATTGTATGGACTGCAAGAGGCATTACATAGGCCAAAGTGGGCGTCCCCTTCGAATTAGAATCCAAGAACACAAATCAGCCTTGAAAAGACACGATATGTATTCTTTAGTATCAGTGCATATAGACAATTATGGACATCAATTTGATTGGGATCATGTCGAAATCTTAAACAGAGGAAACACCAAAAGTGCCAGGGAATTTCTAGAAGCCTGGCACTCAAACGAAAATGCAATTAACAAACATGTTAATATAGACGAAAGTTAATCAGGTGACCAGAAAGTTTAAAATCCAAGTCAATAGAAAATGGTCAATACATCTGTAAAGATGGTTACCGGGAGACGAAATTCTATCACTCATGAAGAAATTTAAATCATTTCACTTTATGCTAAATATTGCGCTGAAGATGTTGTCCAGCAGGGGGACGACGAATGATCCGCAACCAAACCAACCAGCTCAGAGAACACTATTCATTGCAAATCATCCACCTGAGCTACAATTCTTCTTTATTATTTCAAGTGATCACTGCTCTTTGAAAAATAAATTGTATTATTCATGTAATCACTGAGTGAATTTATGTGAAAATAAAGAACAACTACTGGTCGGTATATGATCGATATATAATGAAATCTTGGTTTTGTGACAGCAATGAAGTGTAATTTGTGTACAGAAGTATGACCTAGATTCAGGTTTGATTTAGGATCTATATCAGTCAGAAAACCACTAAAAACCATCAGGAAGTACTAGACAGCTATTTCGTCCACATTGGGACTCATCAGCAGTACGTACCTGCCGGGATTCGAACCCACAACTTCGCGGTTACAAGACCATTTAACCACTGGGACTCAACCCAATAGCGCATCATTTCTAACTTCTACAAATTCGTGATTTTAGCGCGGCTACTAGCCAAGATCCTATGTGAGTGTTTGTCCTCATTACCGATCGGGTGAACCTCACTGGTAACGACTTCTCACTAGAACTCACACGAGGCAACTTCATCCTGCAGTTGGTCACTGGCGAGCACCAGATTAGTTTTGATGGGTTGCCCGGTACTCCCTGATTTCCAATGGTCCTCTCACTGATATCAATCCGTGATCACACTTGAAACAAAGCTGAATCCTTACAAAAAATTTCATGAAAATGCCCTTGATTGTTTGAATACATAATATCGTGTAGACGACAGATCGATAACCAAGGGTAATTTAGTAAATCAATTAGGCAGCCAGTAAATTCTTACCAGTTGAGGTAAGACTTTGTTTCTATCCCTTGTGACAGGAAGGCATTCTTAGTTCCATGATAGGAAAAGGTTTCCATTTTGCAATAGAGTACTACCGCTGTATTACTCTGTCAGCAGGCGTTCAAATTTTATACATCATTAACCACTGGTTATGGTCTTTCATGCTAACTTAAGAACTAGTCTTCAAAACTGACAACTAACTGACAACCTGGACAGGGATCTAACTCACTGCCTTTAGGTTAAAAGTTGAGGCGACTGACTATTCAGCCAATAGGACAGGTTCAAAGTAATTCCATTAATTCTAACTGCTGCCAACCCCGCCCTAGTTCACTAGCTCGCTAGTTTTAAGCCTGTTCAAGCTTGGGAAAAGAGCGAGAGTTGGACGTAGGGCTAGCGACCCTGCTCCAGAAAATCAAACTGCTACCGAAACCTCAGTGCACAAGAAAAATTTAAGAAACACAAAAAATATGAAAAATAGACTTAATTTTGGTGGAATCAGGGAGAAGAAATGATGTGGACTGGTGAAAGTCTTCATAAAGCCAGTCAGTCAATGTGTCTTCTTCGGGTGAAAGGAAAAATAAGAATGGGGACTTGGAATGTGGGAGACTATGGGGAGCGAGAAGATAAGAATACTTTGGACCAGTTAGAAGACTATAGAAGATCTGAACCACACAGAATGCTTATGTCTAATGTCACACAAAGCAGAAAACTCACAGTCGAAAACGCATAAGTCGGAAGAAGAAGAAGAAGCAAGCAGTGAACCCAGGACTTCAAGTGAGGTTAGAGAAGACGGAGGTGATGAAGACAATCAACCACCACTAACAACAAACATCGGTCACTATCAGCGGCAGAAGTTTGATAGAGGTTACTCCCTCAATTACAGACATCCCGGACGGATGAGAATGTCGAAACCAGAGTCAAAAAATCAATTCAGGCCTTCATTACTCTCAAATCAGTTTGCAAATCTTCTGCACTGAGCAAAAAGAACACTATTTGGATCTTTTGCATAGATGTTAAATCAGCCAGTTCTTCTGCATGGGTGAGAAACTTGGCATTCATGTCACTAAATGTATTTCTAACAGCCTGGCTCCATACTGATTGTTAAAAACCAGTCAGAAAGAATTAATAACAAGAAACTATGGAAAAAAAATCCAACCAAGGACCTATTGGCCAACAAATATCTGGAAGAAAATGGAGATAGATTGGGCACACTCTGAGGAGACCAGCGACTGGAATCCAATTTGGAAACGACGAGTTGGGCATTTGTCAAGCGGCGACATGGAGTAGATCAGAGACTACAAGCATTCATTGGGCCAACTAAACAGGACGTCAGAGAATAGCACAAGATGGTTATATGCTGGTGAAGCCCTATATTGCATTCAGAGCTTCAGGGAAAAATATGATACTGTCATTTCTAGATAAAGTAATCAGTGAGTAAAAACCATTCAATCATTAGTATGTCTTTTGTACACAGTTTCTGTAGACAACAAATGTTTTGGTTTCAATATCTACAGGAATCTTGGTTATGTGTTAAGGTGTATCAGCCGCACAAGCCCGAGAATCTCATGTAATCCCTTGTTATCAACGAATAATCATAGGTGATAAATATTCGTTAAAGAATTATTGACCGTCAAAATAAAATTGCTCAGTGAGTACTGCTCGAATTGACAGGCGGTACATGGTTTGATTTTCATAATGGATATCAGTATGGATTCAGGTTCATTTGGTTGACATTGTTCAAAACAAAAGACTTAGATATGATGGGGAAGATTAATAGGTCAGGTGGATGATTTTGATGTGGTTGCGTTCTCTGAGCTGGATAGTTAATTTGCGAAGCTTTCATTGCCCTAATAGGCGACATCTTCAGCGCATACTTCAATTTGAGTTGATGTGAGCTATTACATTTCTCCACGAGTTTATTAGTCATGTCTCCTGGTGGGTGACCTTGAACGTGACTCTTTGGTTGCTTTTGTGTGTTTCCACAAAACTTTGACCCTTTGTGTGTGAGATTTCATTCTTATCGATTGGTAAATGTTGTCTAACTCGATGTGTCTGTTGATTGAATATTATGAGACAGGTTACTAAGAATTCTCTAGCATCCTCGGTGTTTACTCTGTCTAATATTTGAACGTTGTCCCAGTCGAACTTATGTCCGTGGTTGTCTGTATGCAGTGAGGCGATGTGAGTGAGGGAGTGGATGTCATATCTTTTGACGGCTAGTTTATGTTCATGGATACGAAGACGAACGGGGACGTCTACTTTGGCCAATGTAGTGTTTTTCGCAGTTGTTACAAAGTTCAAGTCAAAGAAACAATCAGTTCCAATATAAATGGCCTAGAGGGTGTGAAAACAAACAAGAACAACCAATCACGTTGGAGGTCACCAGGAGAGATGACTAATACACTCGTGGAAAAATCTGAAAGCTCACTTCAACGAATTGAAGTATGCGCTGAAGATGTTGCCTAGTAAGTAGGGTGACGAAAGCTTTGCAAATAAACCATCCATCCAGCTCAGAAACCACAACCACATCAGAAAATTGTTCAAAACGGAACTGAACTCGTGTATTGAGCTTTAATGTTTCTTACTAGATTTAATTATTTTTGTTTAAAGGTTATTCTGCTAGATTCAGACATGTTATTCAATGATGATATTGTAAAACTTTGGAAGTTATTCAATGAATTCAATGAAGATCAGGTAGGTTTATTTTGTCGATAGCATGTAAGCATATTTATTTCACTGTCTTATTATCAAATCTCCATTTCACTTGATTCCTTGTGGTTACTTTTAGCTAATTCCGCGTCTACCAAGAAGCTTAAATTGCTTTTACATATTATCTCCCCCCGTATTACTGTCAGAAGTTCAACAGGCTGCTTCCTAACCGGTTTCCACCCAGATTGTGTGACGTCACTTCCTAGTCTCGTTAGTGTACATTCAGTCTATCTCAGTTTCCTTCAGCCTTTTTTATTGAATAACAAGATTTTGGCTAGTTCGTTTCCAAATACCCTCTGCGCTTATCTTTTCTGCATATCCATCGTATCTTCAGTATCATCAGAAGGGGGAAAAGGTAGCTGTTGATGGAGGTATCTAGTCTGCTGGAAATGGTTCTCCTGGCACATGCAGCAGGTCTGTGAAACATACAGAAGCATTGATTTAACATGGATTGAGGTGGTTAGCACATATCTTCCTCATGCCTAACCATCGCTTCCTTTGATGAGCAGTGCTAGTTGCCAACATAGGATCAGGGTGGAAAAGGGCTAGCTAGTGGTGGTAAAGCCAAAACATAGGCTCGTCAGTCAATCAAATCCATAACATGTCATGAATTAGCAGTAGTTAGAATTTATGGGCCATTGGATTGGGTCCCAGTGGCTTAATTGTCTACGAGCTCGCTAGCCTTGTAAGCAGAAGGTCCTGAGTTCGAATCCCGATCAGTGCGTACTGTGAAGAGTCCCGAACTAGGACAAAATGGCTGTTTGAAATTCTACTCTCTTTTGCTTTGTGTGCTACATGGATGGAGAGTGGCAACTCGAATTGGTGCACGTCTGTACAAAATTTTGTATTCAAAGCAGTCAGTCAGTTAGTCAGTCACTGATTTAACATTAGTGGTGATCATTCGGAACTTGTTTCTTGGGGTGAGCGCTGTACATCCCCAAAATGATTTCAGAATAATGAATAGCTATTTTTTGCCTCTTGACTTTGACTGACTTTGACGTCCTCATCCGTATGGCCACCTGCATTTGAAATGGTGCTGTCTGTTGATGGTTAGCTTTTTGACAAGGGTGAGTTCGGAGCCGGATGGTGGGTGCGTACTTCCGATGATTCCTACACTAGGATGAAACAAATATGCTAATATCCCTTCGTCTGACACTTTTCAGTTCGTTGGCCGTTGACCGAACAAAAGTACACTCTCCTTTTCTCTCCCTGTCTTGACACTGAATCACTATTCACCAACGTTTCACTCACGGAAACTATCTTTCTGAACATCGGATTACCAACAGTTTGTTTTAAGGAACTATTACCACTGAGATGCACTCTTATATGCAATTCAGGTTCAGTGACATCATTTACAGACAAAAAGATGGGATTGTAAATGGGATCTCCCCTGGGTCCATTGCTAGAAGACCGTTCCACAGAAAGCTTCGAGAATGATCCATTTAAGCCGACTACTGATCATTTCCAACTGTGTGTTAGATATGTGGATGACATCTTTATTATCTGTGATGACAAGGGTTATCTTAATCAATTGTTAGAGATATTCAACAGCTGTCATTTAGTGACAAAATTTACTCCTGAAATAGAAAATGAATCTGACATTCCCTTACTAGATGTTAAACTTACGACAAGAGCCAACGGAACTGTAAATAGGTTCATCCATAGGAAACCCACATGGAATGCACAGCTGACAAGTTTCTACGTCTGGGTAAGAATTAGTCGTAAACGCAACCTAATTAGATCTTTTGCCACTCGTATCCAACACATCTGCAGCCCTTATGCTTCGGAAGAGAAGTTTTACTTTTCGAAAGAAATCTTCATTCAAGACGCATATGCGCCAATGCCAGTTTACACTGTCTCTGGCGTGAACGTGATATCTGGCTGCCTTTCAACCAAAGGCCGGGTGTACTGCTCCAAGTCCACTCCGTCCTCCTTTATGGCTGTGAGACATCGCCATTGAGAGTGGAAGACATGAAAAGACTAGCTGTCTTTGATCACAGGTGCCTGCGTTATATCTCCCGTGCGAAGTATTATAATAGGGTGAGTGATATTGAGGTAAGATATCTGTTGAGTGCTAGGTAAGGAGGGGAAATCGACTGAGATGGTTAGGACGTGTGTTATGCATGCATGCCTAGTCATCGCCTTCCTCGAGTGACGGGCAATGTTAGCTGCTGACATTGGGTGGATCAAGTTGGAAAAGAGCCACTGCTGGTCAAACCGAAACCTGTCTTTATCAGTCAATGAAATCCATAACAGTTAGTTTAAGCCAAGTAGGAAGATGTAGACTTCTGTGTGGTTGAGGTCCTCAGGACGATAGAAACCAATGGCTGGCGCAGATGCATCCACTCCTTGTGACTTATAATACCCAATGAAACTATATTACTCTTCGTTAATACTATTCCTTTCTTCTCATATCCCTTTCTTCTGTCCCTATTTTCATTTCTTCTACTTTCTTCTCTTGCTTTGCATGTCACCTCAAGGGAGTGTGTCGATTCGAACTGCTGCACATCGGTGCAAAGTTCTATTTTGAAACCAGTCAGTCATTCAGCATATGAGCCAAAATTTATTGACAAGAACATTAAGCCAAAAATTCAAACACAAGAGGCATCATCCATACGAAAAAGAAGCTTCTGATAAACGTCGACTTCAAAAGTGACCTACTCAGCAATATCCTTTAGAGGAGAATTTCAGTTTCTACAAAAAGAACCTTCTTCACCAAAAGTAGTGTCTTCCAGTTGCCTATTAATCTGAAGAAACCAACATCGATCGTTTGATATGTAACCTGTCCAAAAGGGCTCGAGAACACTATCCGTCATGGCTGCATAAAGGTATTACTGGCTCTATGAGGAGGAGTGTAATAACTGGGCATCTTGTCAACACTGATCATTCCATCTCAAGAATCACCTCCTCCTTCAAAGTATTCTACAGTGTGACGAATAATCTGCCAAAGGGAATACTCTTCCTTCTTCTTTGCATTACTGAAGCTCTAGCCATTCAGATATAAAAAAATCAGAGCTATACATTCAAAAGAGAATTATTATTCAACCACTTCTATTATTGTGCTAACAACCATGTTGATTTCTAGTGACTGCGAATTTCCGAACATCACCCTGTGTAAAGGACAAACAAAATATATTCAAAGCGTCCTTCTATCTCATCTTGTGCATACAAAACACAATATTGATGTCGACGAGGCTTTTAAAGTCTTTTAACACATACCAAATCTTAACTTTGCCTTAAAAGTTCGTTAACATAATATTGCTGAGGCCGTTGGCATCTACATTACGAAGACTAATTTATGTGTCCAAAAGAAGCTAGTTCAGACATTGTCCTTACCTCGGACATCTAGGTTTGAATGACCCTTAATTTGTTGCAGAAATTTCCTTAATTTTACTTGATTTTCTAATGGCTATTATATTTATATTATTATTATTATTTAAGCATCTTTAATGAACTGTGGTAATTCCATTGTGATCTTACTTTAAAAATCGGTATTATTTAAAAAGCACACTAATATTGTTATTGACTACTATTCTAGAATATTTTTTGTATATAAACACACATATATGTATGTAGTTGTAGAGTCAGAAGAGGAGGAAATTATCGAAAAGGATATTCTTCGCTGGCTCAAATTTTGTGTTTTATAGATGACTTCACTTTTGTTTATTTGCTTTTCTAGCTCCTAACAACTCTTATATAATTCCATATTTTCTTTCGTTTCTATGCTCATCCTGATTGCAACTCACTCACTATATTATTCATCATATTAGGTAACTAGAATGCACTAATCCAAACGCTCTTATTTATTGGCTAATACTAACAACTATGCTTGTGACTACTTATCATTTTTGTTACTACTCTCCTTCATGAGAAAATCTGTATATAAATGCGATTGTACAGCTCGGGAAAAAGAATTCACCACTGAAAAGAACCTCTTCTCTGAACTACTTATCTTATTTTTATTGATGGGTAAGTAGTCGGGAAGCATATAGATATGCTTGTGTGAAACAGTAGGGATTTAGCCTAAAAGTGAATCAGTTTGACATTGTCAGTGTATATACAAATATATAGATAAATATGGCTATGGAGGCAGTCAGAAACGAACTCATTTCTGACCAAGAACTCGATATTAGAACGAAACTGCCATTTGAAGACATAATGGTTAGAGTGCAGCTGAGTGCTGAATGCCTGACTTCCTCAATATTTAAATTTCACGGAAAAATATACAAACAAACTGAAGCAGTTAGCATGGGGTCACCAATATCCCCGATTGTGTAAGATGTATTGATGGATAGGTTGTAAAACATAGCGAATGAAATATACAGACCCACCCCACGTTGAAATATGGTTGAGGTATGTAGATGAAACATTCACTGTACTTAGAACACAGGATATAGATAGATTTTTCGAACACATCAACTCAAAGGTGGAGGCAGTTCAATTCACTTATGAATTAGAAATTGAGGAAGGAGGGGGAGCTTTCAATGTTAAATTGTAGCGTAAAAAAGAAAGAAGATGGGAAGTTAAACACTAGTGTTTACAGGAAATAGATATTTGAACTTTCGATCATCCCATCCTATGTCAGTGAAAATAAGATTGGTGAAATGTTTAAGTAATAGAGCACAAAAACTAAGTAGTACTAAGTAGAAGCCTTGGAACTTAATAATTACCCTGACAGATTAGTCAAGAAATATGTAGGAAAATGTTAAAATAAAATAAATAATGCTAGTAGTGATAGTGATAATGATAATAATAATAGTAATATTACTCACGATAATGACAACACCAGCAATAGGGAATCTAAATTATCAGTAGTGATTCCATACAAGGAAGGGACCTCGGAAACCTTACTCAGAATTCTTAACAATATAGGCATTCAAACACCCCATAAACTCAATTAGAAACAAGCTTTGTCGGTTAAAGGATCAGTCCTGTAGAGCCTTTACAACAAAACAATTTAGTTTATCTAATACTCCTCTGGAATC